CAGTCGCTTTTTAAGGATTTTTCCACGCTGCTGCGTTTTCCCCAGGGCAGCAGGGAGGTTGGCCAAGGGAGATTCTCTAGGAGTTTACCCTTTGTTTCCTCTGCAGCAAAACCCTCCAGGATTTGGCTTCCCAGGCCTGGCAGGAAATGCCAAAGGGTGGGGGATGGGTAGGACTGTGTGGAGATGAAAATTTTTAAAGAGGAAAAATCATGGGTGAAAATTATCCAAGACAGGTTTTGTGGGATCCTGTTGGAGAGAAAGGATTCAACGATAGGGGATCATAAATGCAAATACACAGAGATCTAAAAATCCAGGAATTTTATTTCCTGTAAGTTCAAACACAAAAGCAAAAACAAACCTACCTCTTAGTGGCTGTCCTGTTCCTAGCGGTGCATGCAGGGGATTGAAGGAAGAGGTGATTTTTGAGGTCACTTCTCCCCCTAGACCCAGACCAAGCCCACAACTTTTCAGGTCTACCAGCATGGTGGGGAGGGCTCCCAGCTTTACCTGCCCCTCTCTGCCAGCCAACGTCTGATCTCGAAGACACAGGAATCTCCCACCTTATTTCCTAAGCTCCCTTTCTTTCTCCCTTTTCTTCCTTGCTGTGGTCCAGCCATTATCATTTCCTTGGAAGAAGTAGGAGACAGAATGAGTTGGGAGCTCTAGCACTGGAAAAATAAAAATGAGATTTGGAAATAATTTTTAGGTTTTAACTACCAACTCTTTGCCCCTTCCCTCTTCTGAATGCTTTCCATGCTTCCAGGTCCGGGTTAGTTTCTATCTCCACCAGGAAGCCTTCCTGACTGCCTTCTGCAGAACTTTAGGTGTGTCACCTATGCGGATCCACTGGAAGAGCTGCCATGCTCTAGCACATCACCTCTTGTATGTCCGTCTCCCCAGTCTCTGTGAGTTCAGAGTTAGTATGTTTTTAGCTTTGTAGCCCCAGAATCTAGCAGTGTTTGGCACATAGTAGATGCACAATAAAACTTGCACATTCACTGAATTAATTATAGGCCATAACTTTTTTTTCAAGCAAAAAACTATATATATGAGAAAATATGTTCTTTTTCATATGAGAAAATATTAAACACTACTGACAGTAACTTAATGTCATCCATTTAAAAGTCATCTGGCAGTTGTAAATATAAAAATTTTAGTTTCTCATCCATATCTAGAAATAGAATTCTTTATAGCTTTGCCAGTTTCCATAAGCATAATACCTTTATAAAAGAAGAATCATGTCCAGAGTTTTTTAGTTGTAAGTGGGAAGACGTGGGATGAATGACGTTACTCTGTCTTAGCTAGGACCAGAAGTCCCTTATCGCCTTTTCTGTACCTTATGCTCTGACAGCTAATTAAAAAGAATTTGTAGAATTCCTTCCTTGGCTCAGGTTCCTCTAGCATCCTAAAGAGCATACTGCGTAGTGTGAGCTCAAGTCAAACATAATGGTTTGAATTTAACTGAAATTAAAGTACCAGCTTCATTTATTGGCCTGTCTGCCTTTTCTCACTAGCACAGGGAAGCTCTTTCACTTTCACTTGCTCTTTGTCCGTCCAGATCCCGTGGAGAATGCCCAGAACATACGAGCTGAGGGCAAGTAGACTCAGCACAGAAAAGCACAAATCACTTTTCAGCTTGGTCTTTCAGTGCGCTGCGGTGGCCAGAACTGACTACGCCATGATGACTGACGCCAACGTGTCTGCACAATCGTCACCGCCAGTTGCCATATAAGACAGGGTACCCCCACTTCACACGCTTCTAAGTCCTGCAAAGCAACCTGTAGCACGCAGGACACGGCCTGAGCTGTATGCCATTTAACAGGAAGCTCTCAAAAGAATGTTTCCAAAAGGACTATTTCTTCCTACAAGCTAAAAAATAATGTCTCACCTACAAATAATTAAACCTGACTTAACATTATTGCTGCTGGGTCATAATTAAACAAGAATGAAAGAACTCTTAATAGGATTGCGATCAAGTCTTTGTGTTCCTGAATCATGTGTTAGAGTCTTAGTTGAAACCAGGTTTCAGAGGAAACACCCTTTCCTTTGAGGAAAAGTGAAACTCAAGCAAGATCGAATTCTATGGCTACCAAATCCAGCTCCCATTCCCACCCAAATCCTGTCCAAATCCTCCTTACCCTTCAAATCCTGGGGCTTCAGACCCCTTCTCCTCCACTAGACCTGAAGACACACCCCGCCCTAAGTCCTCTGGGTTTGAATATTCCCACGCAGAGTGCAACTACTTAGTGCTGTCTGCTGTTCTCTGTGCTTGTGGCAGTTAATATAACTTCCCAATCCCTTATTCAGTAAACTTCTCCACTTGGGAAGCATCTTCCTTTTGCTGATAACTCCACACCCAGCACCTACCTTAGAGTTAGGTGAATAATAGCTACTCTTTAAAACCATGATTGATCGTCATAGGAAAAGTCACATATTTTTAAAAAGCTGGGGGTTTATAAGATGATTCTTCATAAGATTCCTTTCATAAGATCCTTCAGTGAGGTTGAAATATGATTCTCTTAAGAAAAATTAGGTGAATATACATCTGTTGTATAAAGCAAAGTATTCTACTAAGTAGTGGTTAGTGCAAAGTAACCATGCCTATCTATAATCTCTGAACTACAGAGAAAACTCCTCCTCTCCCACCCTCGCCCTCCAATCGTCCAGATCTCAACATCCATGTCAGTCTGATCATTGTTCTGCCATAAAGAAAATCCATGGTGTCATTCAACAGCATTTTGTGCTCCCAAAGCTCCCATACAGTAAGGAACCTCAGCCTCATGATTCTACAGTGCACAGAGGAGAACACTGCTGACATTGAAGATACTCATTCCCACTCCCTCACTCAGTCACCAAGCTGACCTTCATTCAGCTGCACCTTCCCAAGATCTACCATGTCAGGAGATCCAAACAACCAGACCAGGCCCCTCCTAAGATGTTGGACCTCTTGGCAATGTGTCCAAAGACAGAATGCCAGTGTGACTCTCTTCCTGGGAAGCCACCTCTGACAGAGAGATGGCTATCTGCTGGGGACAGAGGGGTAATAGGGTTTCCCCATAGATGGGACACTGTGCTGGGTCAGGCACAAGAAAGCAGAAATGTGATATCACAGCAAGGCTTCATTGGCTTGGGAGTCCCAGAGACCAGATGAAATGCCAGGTCTGACTCTGCCAATATGGAGTTTCTGTGGTCAGAAGACTTTTACTTCTATGAAACCCAGTTTTCTCACTGGTGGGGCAGGAGGGGGTGGAGAGAGAGAGAGTAGAAAATGTGGCTTTGAAAAAAATCTTTCAAGCCTCTGATTTTGACAGTAACCACCTACCAGGTGTGAGGTCCTACAATAGGCGCCATGGACATAAAGATTATGATACATTTTTCATTAATCTGGAATTATGCTCTAGTGGAAAAAAGAAAGCTGACTCCAGCACTGAAACTCTCTTATCATGTTAGACTCTGTATATGCACATACACTCCAAGCCCATAAATGTCGGGCATTACACAACACACATCAAAAATGCAGATAGCTATTAAGTCTTATACTTGTTCAGAGAAAGGGATAGGTTATTATTAAATGGGGGTCTCTGAGGAAAGTTTCATAGACAAAGAAACATAAGTGTCTTTGAAGGATAGCAGAATGATTTCCAGAATATATTTCCTATTCTCCTGAGAAATCAGAGGGATAGAAAAAATTCCATCAGACCAGGGTTTCTCAGTGTGGAACAGGTGTGGGGAGGTGTATGTGAGAGAGAAATGGGGAGCTTGGGATCAGATGAGAAAAAGTAGATTGAACAAAGATAATTTTTCCCCATTGCAGGTCTCCTCAATAAACAAACAAATATGTGTTGAGACTCTCCAAGAGAGGTCAAAACTACAGTGACCCCAACTATGGGCCAGAGAGTCTTTTTTTTCTTACAGCTTCTGAAGAATCCAGCTTCTCAGGGTTCCGGCAAATACCCTTTGAAGAACAGTGTACTGAAGAGACTGTCAACTCCCTAAGGTCTGGGCCTGGGTCTGGTTCACTTTAGCACCCGGTATGGCACATGGGAAAGAGTCAATGAAACATCATAAAATGTAAACTTGCTGAATGACCTGATGAGTAGTCACTGACTTCTAAGTGAAGAGACCAGCACGCCCAATGACACAAAGGCAAGATTACACCCGGGAGCAAGACATCACCTCTCTGCGACTTCACCCCCACTGTCCGAGCTCTAGGCGGGCACAGGTAGGAGTTTCAGGTGAGGTTGTCTTTACCTTCTCAAGAAACTAACTCCTACAAATCCATTGGTCCTCAAAGACTAACTCCCCTTCCCAAAAAGGATAATAAAAGCTTCATGGAAAATGTTGGCATTTCTTTTCTTTTCTAAGAATGAGGAATAAATCCGTTATAATATTCATAGGACAGACTCTAGGATGTAGTGGTAGATTTTCTTTGTTTCTTTACTGCCACCTTCTGGTTTCCAGGCAACTACGTGGCAAACTAAAAATGCCACCTCATGTTTGTATTTCACTATGAAATTTTAAGCATTTGCTCACACCCTTTACCTCATACGCTATTACATGAGTTAGAAGTGACCGGGGTGGCCTTTACTCTTTTTCATTTGACCCAAAAGTAACATAAAATTTAAATGATTTGATTAGTGATAGAAAGTTAGGAGCATAGCAAGGACTAACCGTGCCTGTTGGTTTTTCCAATGAGCAAACACTGGGTTTTAGCCGTTTGGCTTTATCCAGCTAGATTTGCAAAGAGTTCCACTGCTCTCTCATCCCTTCACAAGCACAACCTTGAACGGAAAATCCCATGCCCTTAAATAAAGAAGATGATGCTGTTCAAATATACCCTGATCTTTTCAAGGGTAAAATCCATTCCACTTTACAAAGTCTTTGAGAGCACAATGTAGAGGGTCTAAAATTGATATTTTATCTGATAATCGAGATACCATAATGCCCTATGCAATGCTACCTCAAGAAGGTCGTTAGCCAGGTATGCTTCCTGAACATACCTTGGTCTGGAAGCAGCAATAGAGTTGGGTTAGGTACGGGTGTTTCCGTGCCAGAGCCAAAATCCTCTTCTCTGTCATCGTGCAGTCCACGTCATCATCCTGAAGGATGACATCCTTCTTTAAGACTTTCACAGCATACACTTCATCTTTGCCCTTGAGTTCCGCCAACATGACCTGCAATCGATCAAAATGGCCCCATCAATCTATGCATGCATAAAATCAAAAGAAACACAAGTTAAATGCCACATACTTTGAAAACTAATTTTTTCCCTTTAATTTTAAATACCACAACAGCATTAAAAAATGTTTAGGAAAAACTACTCATTCTTATATAACTACTATAGTTTATTTATTTTTAATTTCTGGCACAGTGCCCAGGCATAGGAAAAAGAAGTCCAATGCACGTCTATCTACGATTAGTCATACCTTCAAGTATGCTAATCATATTTACAATATAGTACAGCAAACAGAGTAATTACTTTGAACTGAATGTTACTTTGTAAGCATTTTCTACATGCTCTCCATTATTATGGTTGCTTATACTCAATTCAAATAAATACACTATAATTTATTTAACCATTTCCCTCAAATCAGACACCTACGCTATATCTAATTATTAAGTATCCTAAGTAAATAGCATTGAGTATTTTGTACATAATATTTTCCTGTTTCTTTTGGGTTACATGCTTAAGACAGATATCCACAGAAGTAGATTAAAGAATTAAACATTTTGCACATTTCCTGACTTATTTTTAAAAAGGATGTGTAATACAATGTGCCACTAGCAACACAAAAGTGTTTTAGTTTCATGCAATTTATCAACCTTGAGTGCTTTCACTTAAGTTTTTTTTACTCATTTAATAGGTGTGAAATGTTACCTCAATGCTATTTCAACTTGCACTTTTTTCTTTCTCTTTCTTTCTTTTTTTAAGAGATGAGGTCTCACTGCATCACCCAGGCTGGAGTGCAGTGGCAGGAGCTCATTTCACTGCAGCCTCGAACTCTCCAGGGCTCAAGCAATCCTCCCACTTGAGCCTTCCAAGTAGCTAGGATGACAGTGGCCAGCCACTGTGCCTGGCTCTGAAACTTTAAAAATTTGTTTTCTAGCTATTTCTTTTTATGTGAATTATTTGTGAACTAGTTATCTGCAATGTTATTAATTTATTGCAAATTTATAAACATACGATAAAGACATCAACATTTTATTTTCTGCAAAGATTACTCTAAGCCTGTTTTATGATTTTTTGTTATTTTTTTCTATTGAAAAGAATCATTTCTCTTTCTGTGCTTGAATCTATCCTTGTTTGCCTATGGTTTCTTCTACAGCTTTAAAGCTGGAGACATGATTCCTTTTGCAGAGAGCTAACTAACAGTTCTATTTTCTGAAAACGTTCCTGTATTTGATACTTTTGCATTCATTCACCTACAAATGTCACAAGCCTTTCTTTTTTTAAATAACTCCTTAGTATTCTAATGGAAGTTGTCAAAGCTAAAAAGCAGCCACTCAGAATCTTGCTGAGGGCACTGGGGATGATAACCTGAACACCCTTTGTCACCCACAAGTCACTCACTCTTTAAAACTGGCTCACACTTTGGCTGTGATTTTTCCTAAGAAGCAACCTAAACTCTCCAGAGTTAAAGTGCTTATCCTGACTACACTATATGGAAACCTGGAAACCGAGTCTGATCGTTCCCTTTGAATCTCACTCAAAATTAAATCAAGTCCTGTCCATATCCCAGAGTCATGCCTAGCCAGAGGACTGGGGTCTGCTTCTTATTTAGCCCGTCTCTAAGGAATGTGATTGCTTCAGCTTTTACTGTTCAAGTAAACTCTAGTTACCTCCCGCCACCGTGATCTCAAGATGAGATAGGGGCAGGTGAGATGGCTGGGAACCAGCTGGAATGGGCCTACAGCTGTCACCTTCAAGAGTGCAGCGCACGCGAGGGCATGTGACCCCCAAGAGCCGCCTGGTCCCGGAGGCCCCAGAAACATGACACCCAGGCACAGCTTTGAGAAGAGCCAGGGGAGAGCCAGGGTGAAATGCTAACCAGATTCCTGAGCTCTCCGCCCTCCTTTCTTCTTAATGAACAGGGTTTTTTTTTCCCTCTTCCATCTCACCCAGCCATCAGGATGGTGGATGATCACCATCAAGGCTTTACTGAGCACACTGGAAGCCACACCCCACACCACTGTGTCTCCAAGGGGAGCAGGTATGGGGAATTGGCCCCAAGGGCAGAGGACATGATCCAAGAGATGATTACTCTCATTCTCTTGCCACATGAGGAGGATAAACAAAACATGTATTAAGTGTCAGAAAAACCGTTAAATAACATTTAACTTCCAAAGTAATGCATGCTAAGATTTGCTTTGAACCCTAAGTTCACTGGAGGCAGAGATTCTAGAATTCATTTTCAAAGTCTTCATAATCAAATAGAACAGAATTTCAGATGATGGATCTCTGAAGGAGGGAAGAAATGTATTGATACTATCATTGACGATGGAATGTTCAGTATATATACAGCACTGTAAACTTTTTGAAGTGCTTTCCAATCCACTGTCTCCCTTGATTCCTGTCCCCATTTGACAAATGAAAAAAAAGCCCTTAACTCTAAAGAGGTTAAATCACTACACTAAGGTCCCATGGCCATTAACAGTTGAGCCAGGGGTCCCGTGTGCTTGGCCTCGGGCCATTGCCACCCGACAAGGAAGGACAGCATAAGCCCGCTGAAAGGTTCTTCTTTAATCTTAGGTCCACCAGAGGCGGCATTGCCAAGGGGCAGAGGAAACCAGCACTTCCGCCCACGCGTGCCACAGACCTTGCCGAAGCTGCCTTTGCCCAACACCTTGATGAAGTTGAACTCGTCCAGGCCCAGGCGCTTGGCCTGGCCTTGCCGGACTTCCCCGTTCTCGCCAGGGCCCGCCAGCTGCCCGTCAGCGGACGACGCTGCCCGGTGCTCCTCCCCTCGGTTGTCGAATGACAAGGCCTTCCGGATGTTGTTTTCAAGTTCTTTCAGTTCTAGGCCAAGGGCAACAAGATGCCGAGTTAGTGCACAGCTCGCGAACCCTTCCCGTTTTAGGACTCATTCCCAGAATTCCCCGTGAGCTCCCAGCCTGCTGTCTGGGGCTTCATAGCAACAGACCCAGAGTGGCATCCCACACGCCTTCCTTTCTTTGCTCAACACATGCTCGTTGGCACCTAACGTACAGCAGGGCCCAGCTGTGCAAAGAGGACGACATAGTCCCTGCCCTGTCCTCACAAGCTCCTTCAGATCGCACCGGACCTGGCCGCCTCGCTGAAGCCTCCCTTGCCAGGTGGCCCCTCTATTCTTCTAAGAGTAGCACAGGACTCCAGGCCTTCCTAGAGCGCTGTGGGGTCAGGGGCAGCAAGGACCTCCCAAGTTTCCTTTGAAGATTAAAACTAATCGACATCACAGTAATCACTGGTGACGCGATTATTTCAACAACTGAGACTAAGAAGGCTTCACACCTCCCAAGGTCTTTACCTGGCCTTGTTGCTGGGTTTATTCTACATATCCATCTCACGAGATTATCTAACAAAATGAGCAACGGGTTCATCACTAACCAAAGAATTGCTTCCCAGGGTGATGTGATGCAGACTTATCTCCTATGGGGAGGGAATTCCCCATAGGAGAACCATGAGAGGGCCTTGTGCCTCCCTCCTGAGCATGTGACCTGAATTACCTGCAGCTGATAAGGCTGGGTGCTCCTCTGACCTTTCCTATGTGAAGAAGCTTTGCAGTTAGCTACTCATTCCCCAAGACACACACTCTACTGTGCAGGAACGGGCGTCTTGAGCAAAAAACAATTTTAAGAGATGCTTGAGAATAGCTGGGATTACAGACAGGGAATGTAGACTAGTAAGCCCTGGGAGTGAGAATCAGGCAGGAGTGACCACATGCCCCTTGACAGAAAGATCTTCAGCTTCTTTTCAGAAGGACAGAGGCCCCTGAGGGCTCAGCTCACAGAATTCCGAGATCTTTCTTAGATCTGGAGTTTGGCTCCTCTGGGATGTGCTGGCTCGCTGGGGAGGGAAGCGGGGGAGGGGCAGCGGAGTCCACAGCTATTCCCACACCAATTCAGCAGCTACCCGTCACTCTTAACGCAGTGTAATTTTTAATCTCACCACGGAGCTAAACGTTTCTGTCATTAAATGGATTTTGGAAGGCAAAACTAAGCGTTTGGGGACTAAAGGCCCTGACTCAACCTGATCTCAGGTTTGGGGTATGACAATGGGAGGGCTTGTCAAATTCAACTTGCGTGAGTGGTCTGACTGGTCTAGGGCCAGACACTGGGCAGAGAGCTAAGAAAAGAAGCTGGACCGCTCTCCATCCCCTAAACCAAGAACCAGGGAAAGGGGCCAGGGACACTAACAAACCGTAACATCACATACTCTCTCTCTCTCACCCTGTCCTGGAAGGAATTTAAGGCAGGCATGGCCATTTAAACGCCCAGCCCTCAAGAAAGCCTTGCAGAGTGCAGAACAACGATTAGATCGACAAGGAAAGGGTGTCTGAAGACCTTCCAAGGTGTCTCTAGCTGTGTCCACTAACAAGGTCATGCCTGGGTGAAGAGGCCTAAGTGCCTGCCTAGGTCTTTCCGGTGACAGAGCTCAGAGGTAAGGAAGCAAATCTGAGGCTCTCACCCTGGTCACAAGGGGAGGTGGGTGCTGACTTGGACCGATCGTCCTCGGACGGCGAGCTTCCAGAAGCAGGCTGCGGGGACTCAGCACCAGCAATGAGCTAGAGAGGAGAGAAGGAAGGAAAAGCCGTCAGAAGAAAGGGTTCAGGATATGACAACAAGCGCTGCGCGGGCCCCTGGTGCGCAGTGGCACTTGCTGGACTGATATTCTGGAAGACTCCAGGCTTCAATTGCCAATTAAAGGGAAGAAAAACAAGAGTATCTATTTGTTCAATTTTTATTCTATCCATTCTATCCAAATACAGGTGACCTTTCCGAGCAAAGCTCAAACCTTACCTCTTCCAGAAAGCCTCCCTCTGTCTATCCAAGCAATGCAAGTTATCTCATCAAAGCAACGTGACACATTGTCTCCAACACCTGTTTGGTACTTACTATCTTCTTCAGCTTTATACAGTTAGTATCTTTATGTGTACATTGTGTGAGAGCGGGGTTCTCTCCTCAACTGTAAGTTCTCTGAAGATAAGACTGCCCAGTGCTTTTATCACCCCCAGTGACTTGCATAACAGACGCTCAGTAAGTATTTTCAGACGTACTGAAATTGTTGGCAAATTTTAATAGAACACTCTCAGTGACATTTATTTCTTGGCACAGCCACTTAAGTTGCCATTAAAGTCAGCAGTTTGGGCTAAGTCACACCACAAACACGTCTGGTCCCTTTCACTCTTTTTCCGCCCACTGTGAGCATGTGTCCTTTCCGGATGGCGGGCTCTTGTAAGGGGCAACACAGGGGAACCAGAGCCCCGGGAAGGCTTTGCCGTTTCCGGCCCAGGGCACCCTCCCCCATCCTGTTAGACTAACTCGAGCTGTGATGTGGCTTTTTCCAGCTTTTGCATCAGGAGCATCGCAGCAATGAAGACATCAGGACTTCCGTCCTGCAGCCTTTCGCCCCACCCCTTCCTCAATTTCTCCACGCTGGCTTCTCACTGTCGTGTCCCCCACATCCACAGTGGCAGACGCTGTCCCACTGCTGACATCACAGCCCGTGCACGGATGGCAGAGAGGGCAGGTACTGCGTTTCTTCTTTCAGTGTTTTAGGACAAAGACCCTGTCTTTACCTCTAACCAGAAAAAATAAAGAAAGACCCATATCTCCTGAAAAGGACTTGCTAGGGCTCAAACGTGTCTAACGCTGTCATCAGTGTTTGCGGGACTCTCCTCTCCAGCGGGGGGGCCCTGGCGTTCTTGGGGACTGACATCCCGGCTCAACGCTGACGCCTTGGGTCAACAACCGACGTCCTGTTCCCACCAGTGGGATTTACAGAGCTGAGAAGAGCCACCAAAACTACAAAATCTCACAGTTAACCAGGGAGAAGAGAATTTTTTCTCTGAAACCCTTGTAAACCAGCTTTGTTTATTGAGAACCGAGCGAAGGAGAAGTTTAAGAAAATGAAAACAATCCCTCCCTTCCCACGTAAGAGAAAAGGCTCTTCTGGGAGGCAAAGACATGGGCAGGTTCTAAAATGAGCAGATAACTAGGAAACTCGGGGCCTTTAAGAAGGTGTTTCAGGGCAAACTTCAGGGAGAACATTTGGGAGTCCAGACTGCAGGGCACCTAGAGTCAGACTTGCTTTCCTAGCAGAGAGCCCGGGGCTGTCTGACAGGGAGCCTCCAGGGCCGCTCCCCCTGCACCCTTTCACCAGCATCTCCTGCCCAGTGAGCATGTTTCTGATTTTCTCATAAGGTACTTTTCAAAGACCTCTTCAATTTTCTAGGCGAGGAGCCAAGGCTGAAGAAGAGCCTGTAAACAAAGTGCTACAGATGCCTTCAGCTCTATTCACATCTGTGGGCCCTCGCTTGGCAAAGTACCATTTGAGCAAACGGATCTCTTCCTACTGATATTTGGAATGTCACACAGATCGGTCTCCAAAGAAAGGTCCAGATGTTTCATGTCATGGAATATTAACAATATTCCTCAGGCAGCTCAGTGCTGGTACTAGCACGGATCTCTTTGGCTTTCTCCCTAGAAAAGAATGTGGTTCCAACTCTTCCTCCATTTATCCTCATTATAATAATACCAGGGGCAAAGTTCAGGAGCTGACATTGCTTTCCATGCCAGTTCTGGAGGAAGTTTTTTTTTTTTTTTTTTTTTGGTCTTGAGTTAACCTTTTTCTAGAAGAAATTCCAAAGTCCTCATCTCAAAGCTTATATTTCTCTGGCAAACATAACCCTTGAGGGCTTGCCTTGTTTTCACCCCACTTTTGGAGCCAAAGGACACTTCAATGTTACCTGCCTGGCCTCTTTTTTTTTTGTAATTTAAGCACATACTGTTTAGAGTAAAATACCTCAAACCCACGAATCATTTTTTTTTTTTTTTGAGACAGAATCTCACTCTGTTGCCCGGGCTAGAGTGCCGTGACGTCAACCTAGCTCACAGCAACCTCAAACTCCTGGGCTCAAGCAATCCTCCTGCCTCAGCCTCCCGAGTAGCTGGGACTACAGGCATGTGCCACCATGCCCGGCTAATTTTTTCTATATATATATTAGTTGGCCAATTAATTTCTTTCTATTTTTAGTAGAGACAGGGTCTCGCTCTTGCTCAGGCTGGTTTCGAACTCCTGACCTTGAGCGATCTAGCCCGCCTCAGCCTCCCAGAGTGCTAGGATTACAGGCGTGAGCCACCGTGCCCAGCCCATGAATCTTAAAACCTCACTTCAGAGCACCCTCAGGAAGCCAGCACAGAGACGCTAGCCCAGAAGTGCTCCAGAAATGCTAGCAAATAGCCAGTTACCTTTTTCCTCCTCTGGCCACTGTTTGTGATTTTGTCTGGCGTGACACCCAGGTCAGCCAGCACTTTGGCGATTCCTCTGGCGTCCACGCCACAGTTGGGGGCCACGTTGGTCTCACATCGACGGTGGACGTTCATTTTGCACACTGTTAGGAGACATGGAGAAGAGAGTTCATGGCCTAAAACTACGGTTTTATCTGATTGTATGAGATGTTCATGAAATGCTACATGTTCATTTGACATTGAATTTGGAAAATGCAAAAAAGAAAAAGAAAAAGAAATACCACCCATCATCCCATCACACAGAACTAAAATAATCTATCAAACCACCTTGTAGAGACAACCACTGTTTCTAGTTACTTCCTTCTAGCCATTCTTTCTACACATATTAAGTATAGATAAATAAATATCACATTTGTATTTCCAGCCAGGGAGAATAAAGACTCTAGGAGAACTTAACTCCTTTCTCTGAAACAAAGTTATTTTGAATTTTGGACCCAAATGGATCATATGTATGCAGTCTACCCCATTAATCTGCTAAATGTTGGAATATTCCTGAGAGAGGAATGCCCACAGTTGAACTTCTAAAGCTCCTTTCAGATCTACAGCCTGAATTCACTGAACACTTTTGTTTTTCCCACATCACTTGGTTGTCCCTGGGGTAGGACATCAAAGGTGAAAGCATAAACTGCTCACTTCCAGTCAGCATGTAACCAGCTTAGAAGCCAGCACTCCATTCTAACAAGTAAAAAGCTGAACAAATTATAAAATCAACAACTCTTCTTAGAAATATCTGTGAAGCAAGCTGCTGAATTATCCCAGGGCAAACGGCTGCCCCCAAATTGGACAGCCCGCCAGGCAAACACAGAGAATGACAAGTTACTGGAGCAGAAACCCCTGCAGGAACAGCGCCAGGGGAGAAACACTTGAACTGTAACTGGCCAAGCGCTGGGGGCTCGGTGCAGACAAGCCAGAGTCAAAGGCTCTAGGGGGGATCCAGTCATGGGGGGACCCCAGGCTTTTGTGCATTCCGCCCCCAGGAGTTCAACCCGATTCTGACAGTAAATATGAGAAAAATCCCCTCATGGTTTCAGCAAGAGGAAGGAGAAAAAGAACCACTTTTGAAATAGGCCAGAGCATTCTGCTACTCTTAAGGCTTTCCCTTAGGAGAAGCTATTTTACCAGCACTTAAGCTACTGGGGTTTCATCAGCTCCAACTCCCAGCCCACTCTAGCCACCCTGTCCCACCAAAGGGAAGACTGAGAAGCACTTTTGAAGTTCACAGTTCAGAAGCACAGGCTCAGTGAAGACCTAATCGCGGGCCTGTAGACTGCTCTCTCTCCCTGCACACCTTACCCCCACATTATGAAAGGCCTGTTTACAGCACTTACTTTTTTCTAGGACGTAACATCTGGCTAGCAAGAGACAATTGCAAGGCATACTAAAAGGCAAAAAACACAGTTTGAAGAGATAGCGCAAGCATCAGAACTAGATTTAGATATGGCAGGGATTTTGGAATATCAGATTGGGAATTTAAAATAGCTATAATTAATATGCGAAGGACTCTAGATAAGGCACACAGCATGTAAGAACAGATGGGCAATGTAAACAGAAGTGGAAATTCTAAGACAGGCTCAAGAAGAAGTGCTAGAGATCAAAACCACTCACAGAAATGAAGAATGCTTTTGATGGGCTTATTACTAATAGTAAACTGGACATGGCTGCAGAAACAAACTCCGAGGTTAAAGATATAGCAATAGAAACTTCAAAAATGAAACAAAATAAAGAGAATAAAGACGGGGGGGGGGGACAAAATCTCCAGAGTCTGTGGGACAACTACAAATGGTGTAACATGTGCATAAAGAGAATACCAGAAAGAAAAGAGAGAGAAAGGAAAAGAAATATTATATAATTAATGACTGGAAGTTTCCTCAAATTAATATATGACACCAAATCACAGATCCAGGAAGCTCAGATAATAGGAAGCAGGATAAATGCCAAAAACAAGTGAACAAAAAAAAACTATACCTAGGAATATTTTCAAACTACAGAAGATCAAGACTAAAAAAAAAAATCCTGAAAGAAGTCAGAGGAAAAACAATCTTACCTATAGAGGAAGAAAAGATATATATATAATTATATCTGACTTCTTAGAAACCATGCTACCCAGAAGAGAGTAGGGTGAAGTATTTAAAATGTTGAGATTAAAAACCCACCAACCCAGGATTCTCTATCCTATAAAAATATTATTCAAAAGTAAAGGAGACAGGTGAAAGGTGTAGGTCTTGTTTTAGTCTTCTACATGTGGCTATCCAGTTTTCCCAGCACCATTTATTGAATAAGGATTCTTTTCCCCAGTGTATGCTTTTGTCTGCTTTGTCGAAGATTAGTTGGCTATATGAGGATGGTTTTATATCTGGGTTCTCTGTTCTGTTCCACTGGTCAATGTCCCTGTTCTTGTGCCAGTAAAAAGCTATTTTAATGACTATAGCCTTGTAGTATAGTTTGAAGTCTGATAAACTGATACCTCCTATTTTGTTTTTATTGCCTAGGATTGATCTTGCTATACGGGGTCTTCTCTGGTTCCATATGAAGTATAAAATTATTTTTTCTATATCTGTGAAAAATGATGATGGTATTTTGATAGGGACAGCGTTGACTCTGTAGGTCACTTTGGGTAGTATAGACATTTTAACAATGTTGATTCTGCCAACACATGAGCATGGTATATTCTTTCACCTCTTATAAAAATCAACTCACGCTGGGTAACAGACTTGAACCTTAGGTGTGAAACTATTAGAATTCTAGAGGAAAATGTTGGAAATACTCTTCTAGACATTGGCCTACGCAAAGAATTTATGAAGAAGACCCCAAAGGCAATCACAGCAGCAACAAAAATAAACAAATGGGACGTGATCAAATTAAAAGGCTTCTGCACGGCCAAAGAAACTGTCAAGAGAGCAAACAGACAACCCACAGAATGGGAGAAAATTTTTGCAAGCTACACATCTGATAAAGGGCTGATAACTAGAATCTATTTAGAACTCAGGCAAATCAGCAAGAAAAAATCAAACAAGCCTATCAAAAAGTGGGCAAAGGACATGAACAGAAACTTCTCAAAAGACGACAGAATAATGGCCAACAAACATATGAAAAAATGCTCAACATTTCTAATCATCAGGGAAATGCAAATCAAAACCACAATGAGATATCACTTAACTCCAGTGAGAATGGCCTTTATCAAAAAGTCCCCAAACAACAAATGCTGGCGTGGATGCAGAGAGAGAGGAACACTCCTACACTGCTGGTGGGACTGCAAACTAGTTCGACCTCTGCGGAAAGCAATATGGAGATACCTCAAAGCGATACAAGTAGATCTACCATTTGATCCAGCAATTCCACTACTGGGCATCTACCCAAAAGATCAAAAGTCACTTTATGAAAAAGACACCTGTACTCGAATGTTTATAGCAGGACGTCACAATTGCAAAGCTGTGGAAACAACCCAAGTGCCTATCAATTCATGAGTGGATTAATAAACTGTGATATATGTATACCATGGAATACTACTCAGCTTTAAGAAACAATGGTGAGGCCAGGCGTGGTGGCTCACGCCTGTAATCCTAGCACTCTGGGAGGCCAAGATGGGTGGATTGCTCGAGATCAGGAGTTCAAAACCAGCCTGAGCAAGAGCAAGACCCCATCTCTACTATAAATAGAAAGAAATTAATTGGCCAACTAATATATATATAGAAAAAGTTAGCTGGGCATGGTGACACATGCCTGTAGTCCCAGCTACTCAGGAGGCTGAGGCAGGAGGATTGCCTGAGCCCAGGAGTTTGAGGTTGCTGTGAGCTAGGCTGACGCCAAGGCATTTACTCTGGCCTGGGCAACAAAGCGAGACTCCGTCTCGAAAAAAAAAAGAAACAATGGTGATATAGCACCTCTTGTATATTCCTGGATACAGCTGGAACCCATTCTACTAAGTGAAGTATCTCAAGAATGGAAAAACAAGCACCACATGTACTCACCAGCAAATTGGTATTAAAGGATCAACACCCAAGTGGACATATAGGAATAACATCTATCGGGTGTCGGGAGGGTGGGAGGGGGGAGGAGGGGATGGGTATATACAACGTCAACGGGTAAGATGTGCAAAATTTGGGGGATGGACACGCTTGAAGCTCTTACTCGAGGGGGGAGGGGGGCATGGGCAATATATGTAACCTTAACACTTGTACCCCCATAATACGCTAAAATAAAAATAATAATTTTTTAAAAAGTAAAGGAGAAATAAAAACTTTCTCAAGACACACAAAAATTGAGGGAATTTATGGGCAGTTGATCTGCCTTGAAAGAAATGATAAAAGACATTCTCCAGAGAGAAGACAAATGACATACCTGAGAAACTGGGATCTACATAAAGGAAGAGCAGGTGAAGAAATGTGAAGGGGTAAGTGAAGGTAAAATAAAAACTTGGTTTTTTTTTATTCTTAATTGATCTAACAGATAGTAGTTTGCTCAAAATAATAACAATGTGTCCGATTATATGTGATCGTGGTATATATAGGCTACATATGTTTACACGTAAGTGAAATAAATAAAAGCAGTGAGATAAGGGATGGGATTGGAGGAATTAGGATTACTGTTATTATAAGGTACTTATACTACCATGAAGCAGTATAGTATTATTTGCAAGTGGACTTGTATTACTTCTAAATGCATATTGCAAACTTTAGAGACCCACTAACATAAATTGAAAGAAAAGAAGTATAACTAATATGGCTAAGAAAGGAAAGAAAATTAAATCATAAAATGAATGCTCAAATTAAAACCACAGAAAGCATAAAAAGAGTAGAATACCAAAATAGGATAAAGAGCAAGGGTAACAAATAGAAAACAGTATCAAATATGGCAGATATTAATTCCACTGTATCAATAGCCGCTTCAAATGTTAATGATCTAAATATACCAGTTAAGAGAGATCATCATAGTGGATTATAAAACAAGACCTAATCATACATTGTTGATAAGAAACCCATTTTAAATATAAAAAATCATAGATTAAAAGTAAGGACCTGGAGAAAGACATACTGTGCTAACATTAATCAAAAGAAAGCAGGAGTGGCTAATTTCAGACAAAGCT